TTGAAAGCCTGTTAAAGAACATTTTGGCTCTATTAAATTCTAAACAAGTACGAGCATTCCTTATTTCAGTCAAACAGGGATGTGTGTGGGTTGTTTTCTTTCTTTCTTTGTTGTTTTTTTTTGCATGTGGGCTTGTTGGAGACCAAACTTCTAAGGAGTCATGTACTGTATGCACACCAGTCCAACACATTCTCCTAACTCTGTTTCATGTGTGTAGTTTGGGCAATTAAAGCAGGATTTACACGTTTACCCCCTTCCTTTTGTTCAGATGATACCACTGGAGTCTGGTGGCTGTCAGCTGAGCCTGAGAGATTCTCCCCCTTTCCACAGGAGCACCTTGTCTCAGCTCCTTTGGTGCTACTCAAGAGCTGTGATGCCATCCTAAATTATCAAAGTAATCACAGACAAATCAGTGTCTGATGAAAACTGATGGTGTGGACAAAAGATTTCTCTAAAACTTTAAAAAACTTCAGTGAACCCCACCGATTATCTACAGCTTTAAATTAGGCATCGATGTATATATAGCATGAAGTGAGCGGCTGAGAGTGGTTCAGTAGTCAAGTATTAGTCGTTCACGTGTCCTTTCTTCATCTCCATCCTCATGTACAGTAGTGGGTTCAGAGGTGTGTGCGGTGAGCAGCTTTGGCTGTGGCTCCCTGTCAGGTGGAGCCATCTGGTGGCCTCGGGCTGGAAACGTTCACTCGAGGGGGAAAGTAAAGGGGGGATGCAGAGTGAAGACTGAAATGAAAGGAAGTGATGAGAAGTAATTTAGGCTGAGTGAGGACACAGCCTTAGGAAGACATACTGTAAAGGGTTTGTGCCTTTGTTCGAACAGTCAGCTCATTGTCATTCCAAGTTGCCGCTCTCAGACTGAGAGATGAGTGTGTTAGCAGAGGGGAAGAGGTCTCTTTGGTCCGTGGGGCTGTGGTAGTCAGAAGTCAGGTCGGGGTCGAGGAGGGAGGACAAGGTAAAGTTGGACGAGCCTTTCTTCAGGCACTGGGAGTAAAAGTTGAGCAGGAGGTCCAGCTTGTTTTCTATGGACTGAACCTGAACAAACACACACAGACATGAATGGCACTGGCTTTCAAAAGCCAAGCTACATCTCATCACTTCCTAACATCACATGAGAGCTTCACATCAGAAAGAAAACACACTTTAACAGCTCCATTGTTCATATATCAAACTCTACTCCATTACCTGTTTCTCCACCTTGACTACACGGCCCATCATGCTTAGCTCATCCAGTGAGTCCAGTTCTGGCTGTGTCTTCTCTCCCTTTTCAGGACGTGTCTTCTTATCTGGCTGAACAGCTCCTCGTCCAATTATCTGGTCCACCCTTTTGCACAAAAATAAACCATAAAAAAGAGTAAATACCCGAAAACTACAAGACTTTTTTTGGCTCAGCATGATTGTTGGGAGGGCAATGGAGGAAGTGAATAGTTTCACAACTGAGTTCAGGTACTTTAATTTAACAAGCACAGTTCAGCTGCACAAACGAGCAGTCGTTGCTGCTCATCAATCTGGGAATGGTTACAAGGCCATCCAAACAATCTGAAGTCCATGTTTCAACCGTGAGGAAGATTATTCAGAAGTAGAAAACATTCAAGACAAGAAATCTCCCCAGGAAAGGACATCCCAGCATATGCAAAAAAAAAAAAAAAACAGAGCTATGACTCAGACACTACAGGCATCAGTTAGCATGTTAAATGTTAAAGTTCATGTCAGTACATATTTGGCGAAAACCAAATAGCCTATCAGGCAACAGATTCTGTGAAATGCTGCCTCTGACGTTCACAGATAGGACATCTTTGTGATCTGATACCAAACCATTTTGGTCAGGATCAGAGTCATATTTTGTTTTTTTGTGTTCAGAGTATCTTTGGCTTCATGCAGTTAAACCATCTTTGCAGAGAGTAAAGGAGTAATGCAACTTTTTCTTTTTATTAGCTTTTTTTGGCCTAAGTTCATCTGCATTCACAGTCAGACTGAAAGCACTCAAAACAAAATGTTTTCCATAATCCGAACCTGACTGAAGTCCCTAAACACTGATTATTACCCTAAAAGGATAAAACATGACACAAAAAGCCAGTGAGTTTCTAGACTGTCCTCATAGAGCCACAAGTTTTTTGTTGTTAAATAAACAAGAGATAACATGTTTTTTGTTGAGCTTTAAAGAGTGCTTCAGAGCAGATTCACAAAAATATCTTCCTATGAAACACAATTAAAAGAGCTACCTGGTCTGCAGGCTCTTGATGCGGCCCAGCATGTCCAAGTGTCCAGCAGAATACTGCTCTATGACATCCTTCACATCGTACGGGCGTAGTGTCTCCTTAAACTTCCTCTTGGCCACAAGGAACTTCAAGATCCTACACACAGACAACACACACGAAACTCACTGTTAATGCTCCTCCGTCCACCTTTAGATGGCTTCAAAGCGCACGCTCACACAAGCGTGGGTTGAGTGAACTTTTGGAAGAATGCAGGGGTGGGAGGCTATCACATGAGGCAGCCCACCTTGACAATAACAAGATTAATTAAAGTCAGCGTGACCTTATCGTTCACAAACAGCTGCATAATGGTAGCAGTCACAAACCTGCTAAACCATGTGGATATATTGTGACGAGGAGAGCATCTCCCAGAGACATTTCCTTATCAGTATTTGCCGTTTCAGCTTTTCTTCGGACAGAAACGGGTAACGCACGCACACGTGCCTCTAGCCCACCCCCCCCTTCCCCTTCCTCTTTTGTCAGTGTGACAGCCACACTGGAGCCACTGGTGGACCACAGCTGCTCCGACTCCCAGTGGATGCATCATCACCATCCACATCCCAGTGTGGGGGGAGTCACACACCGAGGATTGTCGAGCCAGCACTACTGTACCCAGCATACACATCAATGACAACATCCGCCGCCAGAGCTGTTCTGGTCGGACGTTTCGCTGGAAGGAGCAGAGCGAGTGCAAGAGATAACAGGAAGAGAGCAGAGGAAAGTTTGAGGATGGGTGCGAGTGCACGCCAGGCTTTCTGTGTTGGATGGGTCATTCAATTTCCTTCTTATCACTTAGTCAGCTTAGAGATGCTGGACACAGATACACATCCAAGCTTTCTCCACACCCTGTGATAGATTCTCCTTCACGTCATGTCAAGAGAGTTTTGGGAGAATGAGGGTAGGAAAACCAAGGAAGCAGAAGGACGGAAGATTTTTTTTTTTTAATGAGACAATCCTATCTCTCTAACCCCAGACGACTGAGTCCGCTGTAATAAGCCGGAAATCAGAAATGCTCAGCTGTTTTAGGAGATAAAAAACACACATGCATAGGTAACTGTGTGCACAAACACAATAATGTAATAGCACAAATGCATACATGAATGTAGCTGCTGCTCGCTGATGTACACACCAACACAAGTGTGCATGTGGGCGATGCACGAGCAGTGAAATCTCAACTTGCGCGAGGGGTCATTTTCTGTAATAACCACTGTAACCTTTGTTGAGGTCTGCAGCTCTTGCATTTCCAGTGACCGCGTGTTGTATAGTGACCGTCCTGCAAAGAAAGGGAGAAGGTGCAAGCGAAGGAGAAGAGGAGCGCGAGGAGGAGGAGTGGAGGTCTGCAGCTGGTGCCGAAGCAGCCGTCAGCACACTCCTCCTCCTCCTCCTCTCGCAGCACTCTATTTCTTGATGACTTCTGCGTTTGGGGGTATTTTTGCAGGCGATCTTTTCTTATTTTGCAGGTAGGTGCAGATTTTTTGCCAGGGTGGGTCTCAGGTGTGGGTAAAAGAAAAGGTTGAGACAGGACGGGAGGGGGTGGCGGGCTTAGATTTGGATCCTCCAAGGATTTCTTCAAAATGCTGACTCTCCTTCCTCGCCACTGATATGGTTTTCATAATACACAGTCAGGTAAGAGTAGGGCTCCCCTCTCCCTCCAGTTAACTTCCTGTCAGTCGCAGTTCTACACTACAGCTGGCACTGCTCACTGAAAGATAACATCACCACCACCCCGACTTCTCGGAAGCTGAGACGTAAAAACACAGTAATGACTGAACAAATTGAAGTGTCAATTGTGCCCTAAAATGCTTGCTTAGCCAATGCAAATATTTTTGCAAGTCAGCAAAGGTGGATCTCTGATAGTGTCAAATGGCAAGGATTTATCTGGGAATTAAAAATGAAGGTTGTGCCGACACAAATTCTACGTGGGCCAAGTAGGGTGAGCACCTGCAGGTCTGATCCCTCACTAGATTACTGAATAAACCCTATAAGCTACAGTATGTGGCTAAGTATGCTTATGGACAATTTGATGTGTAAATCTGATAACTTTAAAAAATATTCTGCTGAAAGAACAAAGAACAAAATCTGATGATTCAAGATTAAACACTATAAATAGTGGCCGTGTCCAAGCTATTTTTGTCACTTCGTCTGAGCCCATCATTTCTTTATATTTTGCTTCCCAGGAGTCAGACGTCAAAGTGGGCTTGAGCAATAGTTCTCCAGTCTTCCTGAAGTTCTTTGTGAGGAGTTATTTGTTTGACACTGGCTGCTATTTGACTCATTTTCAGTTCAATCCTTGTACCTGATCATTTTCAGAGGAATATTTGTTTTGTTTGTTTGTTAAGCCACTTAATGCAGACCTATGAATCATTCCAACTACAAAGAAAGTTACAAATTACAAGAAAGCTTTCCTAAGAGAGTTCAGGCTGCGTTAAAGAATAAAGGCCATAAGAAAAATTCACTTTGATGCTCGTTAGATTTGTACAAACTCAGTTTTTGCCTCATATACTGTATTTTCATGTGTTTTTGCACATTTCAATAACTGTCCACACCTGTATCCCATTTTTCTAGCTTAAATATAAACACATCAACAGTGGCTCAAGACATTTGCATAGTACTTTAGATTATTGGATTTGTTTTGAGGAGACTTACAATAAAGGAAATACAGAAAAACACCAGACCTAATTTCCCCACACCCTCCTCCTTTCTCCCACTACCAATCCCTTCGCACATACGCAAACAGAACGGGCATTTACGCATTTATTCAGTCAGCCGGGCACTGATTAATAACATGCACCGAAAGTGAAAGATCAGCAGTAAGACCTGCTGCAAAATGTGGTGTTTTCACTTGCATCATTCAAATACCTTTCTGAGAAGCTGCATGCATGTGTGTGTTAACACAGTGATGCACCTGCTGTTTACACACCTGCACTATATATAGGAAGCTCCTCACTTCTATTGTCTGCAGCACTGAGCAGCTGAGGTCAGAGCTATCTGCTGAGTCAAGTGAAAACCCGAGGAGAGATCATATAATGGCCTATCAGTGGCATTACACTATCAAACCATTATACATCATCCCTGCAATGGTAAACATCCATCTGCTGTGCACCCAATGAAGAGAAAGCATCACTCTATGTGTTAACAAGCACTGTGTTCAGACAGCTCATTAGTAAGTGGACAAGAGTAAAGTCTGATCGGTTTAAACAGCATCAAACTTAGAAAACCTGAGAGATGGAACAGAGATGTCCTGTTGACCTTGTTGGGTAAGAAGATAAATGTGCTGCATTTCATAACTGCCTGTCTTTATAACGGATGCAGCTTTTTCCATTTCTGATATGATACTGATACCAATCTGATACCAGTAATAAATTAACAAGCTGTATCCACAGATACAGACACCTAAAAAACACCATGCGACAAATCCAAGACTGGTGTTTTTATTAGTGAAATAATAAATGTGGGCAGGCCTCAGATAAATACAATAAAGAATCAAAGCTGTAATATAATCTTCCATTTTTCCAGTTTATTTCACTAGTTTAATTTAAGCATATTATCATATTAAGAGTCAATATTTACACTCACACCAGCTGACAACATCTTTTGGCATCTTTTGGCAACATGCATGGAGGAAAGCAACAAGTGTGGTATGAAGAACAACTTCATCAACGCATTATGGTCTGTGGCCTTTGTCCAGGTAATCAAAACCATGTTATGTGACCATAAGTGTAATAAATATTCCAACACAATCAAGCTTTTCGGGTTCAAATCAGATCATAAGCTGTTCCCTTGTTAAGTGTCTGCATCTCTACTGTTAACTATTCGATCATAATACTCTTTCAACCTTAGAAAATATTCAATTGATTGTTGTTTCTCCAAGCTATGAAGTCACCATGGTAACTTGCACACACCTTACCTGCTCCAGAGCAGGTCATGTTTGAGGTAGGAGATCAGAGATAAGAGATAAACAAAAATACCACCTACTCAGATCTCTGCAAAATATTGGTGGATTCTTTCTCTAGCTTGCCTTTGCTGCAGCTAAAAAGTTAGAGGTAAAGATGATGGCTTATAAACATATAGGAGGTGTACTGTACATGAGATAGCAGCTACTCTGTACCTAATGGAAATGCTTCGAAAGGTCGTAACTATTTATGCCATAAAACTTTTTGTATTTAAAGTGTAGTCACCCTCAGTCTTCAGAGTTAACTCGTTGTAGTAAAGCGTTCCCTCTGCAGTATGGAATGATTTTCTTCACAGGAAAATATCTACAGTGTTCTATGTGAGATATAAGAAGAGGGAAAAACATTTCTAAAAAAGGGCGCTGATGTATAATACACAATATAAACTAAAGAGAGAGGTGAGCACATATGGTAACTTACCCACTAAGCAAGAGTGAGAGAGAGTTTAGCAGCTTTACTGTCCTATAAGATGTCATGTAGTAAAATAATCCTGAAGCATAAAGGCTGGAACTTGTAGTACAAAATTTACTTACTTAGTTTTGCAAACACTAAGTTTACTGACTGACACAGTCTGCATTTTTTCCTTCTTGGCTTTAAATGGACTTTATTTATTCAGTGCTTTTACACTGCAGGCTTTTTCACTTAGCGTACACATTCGTACCTTAGTTTTAAATAGATTACTATATGCTGTATATCTCCTCAGACACACTGAGTGGCTACACCAAGAGTGTTGCTTTTAGCCCGTGTTACCTCTATAACCTCTTTGGCTTTTTCAGCTCACGGTTTACAGCCTCAGCTGACAATAGAAATGTTTACAATTAGTCACATGTTGTCAACACCACTTGTGTTGTAGCTGGTCTCTGGTACCTTGAGTTGATTTACCAACTGCCTTTGTGTGATTGCATCAGGGAAAGGGATATTATGAGCTTACAGGCCAGAAATCTGTCTAAAACAAGTTACTGTTGAATGACAGCTGAATTTCACAATCGCTGATGTCGTGATATATAGATTTTTATTTTATGCATATGACCGCTATTTTTTAAAGTACATATGGAACCACACAGGCACCGTCACGCTATCAAGAGAAATGCTCTGAGGGTACAGTGCTGACATCAGGGACCAGAGTCATTTTAATGTGCTCTCATCGTCACCCCCCCCACCCCCCACCCCACCCCAATCTGCACCCCGGGAGACCAACTAGACTGTAACACCAGATGTTTGCTAGCAATTGTGGTTTTTCTGCTACAATCAGGGAAAAGCTCTTACTATTATGTGAGAATGAATGTGACTGTGTACATGAGGTGGGAGGACACTGGACCTATGTCCACATGTCTCTCCACTTTTCTTCTAGTGCAAAGAGATGACAGCGTGATAGGAATTAACATCAATCTCAGCTCAGGTATAAACAACTTCTTATTTTTGGTGTCATTGTTGAAATGACACAGCATCATCTGGATGCTTGTGTACTCTCTAATACATTTTTCCAGTCACGCCACCTCACACATGAATGAGTCGGGCCTGCTGAGACACAAGGTCACATGGAGGGAACTAACCCTGCCTGCAGGAGGGCCCAGTTACCTCTCCTAAGAGGACATTTTTACTCAGTCAGCTGAATCTGCGCACGCCAGCTCTTAAATGGAGGAGAGGCATGTTCACCTATTAATGAAGGCTGTGTACAATAGGAACCACCACTGGTGGGTGAGTGATCTTATCCAGTCCATAACAGGACGCACAGCAGCTCTGGCTTGTAGCTGAAAATTATGATTTAATAGAGAAACTACACTCATGTAGAAAAGAAAGTACAACCTTGGTCAGTTCAAAGGTTTTACATATCAAAATATAAAAAAGTCGCTTTCTGCTTGGAGCGCTACAACCATGCATGAACAGCAACATATTATATCGTGTCACTATTTACTCAACAAAGGCTAAGCCAAATACAGAAGCAGTATTTGTAAAACTAAACAAATCCATGATTCAATAGCTTGTAGAGTTACCTTTGCCAACAATAAGTTGAAGTAATTGTTTTATCACTCTCTCACATCACTGTGGAGCATTTCTGACCTGTTCTTCTTTACAGCGTTGCTTCAGTTCATTAATGTTTGGATCCTTCATTTAAGCAAAACTCTGTTAAGGTTCCTCCACAGCTTTTCAATCAGGTAGAGGTCTGAGCTTTGACTCGACCAATGCGACATCTTGATTCTTTTCTTTTTCAGCCCTTCTGTTGTATATTTGCTGCTGTGTTTGGGGATCATTGTCTTGTTGGATGACCCAATTTGGGCCCAGCTTCAGCTGTTGGACAAATGTCTTCACATTTGACTCTAGAATGCTTTGGTGTACAGAGGAGTTCGTGGTCAACTCAATGCAAGGTGTTCATGTCCTATGGCTTCAAAACAAGCCCAAGTCATCACCCCTCCACCACCATGCTTGACAGTTTGTATGAGGTGTTGGTGCTGATATGCTGCAGGTGGTTTTTGTGCATTATAGCCAAACATCTCCACTTAAGTCTCATCTGTCCAAAGGAGATTTTCCAGAAGACTTCTTTTGTGTTCAGATACAGCTTTTCAAAAATAACCCATGCTGCCATGTTCTTTTCAGAGAGAGGAGGATTTTGTCCCAACAAGTTATATTAGTTTTCCACTTGTGAATATTCACAAGGTTAATCTGCAAATATGCAAAATGCCCAAACCTCTGTTTTCACAGAGGTCTGCACAGTTGCTGATGGTCAGTTAAGTCCATTCTTGCTGGTACTGGAAGCAGTAAGTGTGTTTCTGCATTCAGATTAGGTTTTTTGCTAAAGTAACGAGACAGTGTAAAGATTTTTTTATTATATCCTGACTCCTAGACAGAGCTGAAAGATAGTTTACTTTCTTTGTCAAATGACTGTAGTTGAGTTTATATTATTTTCTTTTATTAAATAGAGAATATTTGGATGTCTAATATCAACCTGCTAAAAGTGTCATCACTAAAACTTGGCTGTAGTGCGATGGAGACAAAGGAATCAACCATAAAGCTCAATAAAAAACTATATTAAGTATGGTTTCAGTATTGAAATTATTATTTCAGTATCATTTTAGATGTTTCTAATTAAGTCACAAATTACAAAAGATCAAAAATACAACAATGGATCAGCAAATACAAGTTTTATACTTCAGCGTGGTCACTAAGAGAGGAGATGATTGAAGCATAAAGGAAATACTTGTAATAGAAGATATGTTATCCAATAAAACTCCACAGTTAAAGCTTCTGCAACAAAATACAGATAAACTAGTGTTTGTTTTTGATGTCAAGTACAGAAATACAATTTTAAAAATTAAGGAACGACCTCCAAATGTTTATTTCACACTCACACAAAAAGAAAAAAACCCCTCAATTTCAG